GTGTTCACCCAGAAGATGGTCTCGGAAGGACTCGTTTGCAAGTTGTATCCTTCGGACCGATCGAGGTGAGAGGTTGCTTTGCATGAAAATGGAGAGTCCGGGGAGTTTCACCGGCGCGTATTACGTTTCTTCCGTTTGCGACCTCAGAGACGAATCCCTTTACATCGGACGGGGCTCCCATTGGCAGCCCCCCCAGAAAGGAATGCAGCACCAGTCAGTAATGCATGGGCATCAGTCATGGCAACACCAACAGCGTATCAAGAGTTTCCATCAGCCAAACTGGAGCGCTGACAATGTAACTGAGCCGACGCTTGATGCCTCTGCAGCCGCAAAGCCGTTGACCTATGACACCGCGCGGCCTCCCCCGTCAGTGGTGTGATGGTCGCGGCCGGCGAGGTGCAAAGACGACCCGAGCCATCAAACCCTCGAATGCTACGTAATCGAGACGGGGCCAGCGGTCTTACGTTGATGGACTGATGATCGACGCCTTGGCAGAGAGGCATCCTGCTCTATCCCCACATCAGCTGTAGGACCCTTAAACGTCCGCCTGGATGGGGCAGACTTTCGGCCGAGCTGATTTGGAAAGGGACCGCCTGCCCCGAAGGCCAGGCCTGGAGTGGGCGCTCGCCATGAGACTTGTGTCTGGCGTAGGAGGCCGTGGTTGGCGGATAAGACCCGGAGCTTTCTTGTTGGGTCACCTTGAGTGTCCGGATTTGCGGCTGATGGGGACAACCCACCCAACCGTCGGCGCCGTCTGCTTCTTATCTGATGATGACTGCCCACTTGAGCTTGCGCGAGCGTGATGATGGGCTTGACGAGTTCAGCGTTTGAGTGAAGCTCAATCAACTTGCAAAATCCGGTTTTGCGACTTGGCTAGCTAGTCGTTCCCGTCTGTAGGTCCAGGCCATCCGAGACAAGAGGTGGTGTTGCCAACATGAAATGGGGAGACTACAATGATACTTCGCGAGGTAGTCTCCTGAGGTATACTTCTCGTGGGTTCAACATGGGGGTCCGTGGTGCGCATCAGAGGACAAGTTGGCAAATGGCTGGAGCGAACATGACACAATGATGACAAACTACAGATTGATCGTTGCAAACAGCTCTTCGAAGTGAGGGCCTATGGCGAATTAGAAAAAAATGTTATCTGTAGGAGCAAAGTTTGCTACCATTGGCCTCGCGTCTCGTTCATGGCTCTGTCCATTTCGGGACAGGGAGCTGGCGTAATTGAGCAGTAATGTTGACAGTTGCTGTAGTATCGCCTGGCATTCATGATTTTCGTATCCTACAAATTCGAATAGGCACAGCGTCGCTGTAGAACGGGCCGGCCTGCTCGGCTTCGGGTGCTATCGGGAAGGACAGCTCATGCAACTCCATGCCTGCATCGCGGCAACGACTCTGAAAAGCATTGAAAGTGGCCTCGTTGCGTTCCGTTGCCGAGATGAGGACCTCGACCTGAGGAAACATGCCGAAAAGCTCCTCAATGGTTCCGATCAACGGTGGTATGATGCTCTGATCATACGTGATATCTGCGCCAAAAACAACGTCGAGAGGAATGCCGTGGTTCCACTGTTGGTCCTCCGTGCCGACAAGTGCGTGGCCCCATTTGAGATCCATCGGAGTGATTATCGGGCTGTCTTGCAGGTCGTTCAGGAAGAAAGACTCTGGCAAGTTGTTGATGACATCGTCAGACCCGTCAGAGGCAATGACCTGTGCCGCACAGAGGTGCTTCGCACATAAAATGGCCAGATAGCCGGTGCCAGCACCGAGCTCTAGCACACGCTTGCCGCGAATTAGTTCTGGGTTGGCGCAAAAATACTGGCCCAGATGAAGCGCTGCCTCCCACGTACGAAGGCCAGTAGTCCCAGAGGCCGAGATCAATGATCGGGCCTCCAGGAGTGTGATCTCTGGATTTGCAGCCTCTTGGGAAGTCGCCGTCTGTGTGAGCTCGGACAGATGATATGTCACATAGGACTTTTGCTGGGCGCCAAACGTCTCTGGAGGGATGGGAGAGGCGAGCAGTTCCGCAAGTGCATCCATGAGATCCTCGGAGACGCCCTGATACCTCGTTAGACTACAGCAGGGAGTGTTGGATGTTCGCCAGGCACATACATGGGTGTCCCAGTCCTCAATGCTGGATTCAACCCTCTGTACCAACTCTTTCAGGACCCTGAGCTGGTACCTTACTGGCGGGGAGTAGCTGGGGCCGTCAGGAGAGAACAGTTGCTCGTATATGGCTTTCTGTGTGCCCTCCTGGCGTAGGACTGGTCCTTCTGGGTAATCAAGATCTCGCTCTAGTTGCAAGAATTGACGACAGAATCGATTGACCTGGGCCTGGGAAAGCACACCCGTGTCATGCATCGTGAGAGTCTCGAGACATGCAACACCGCAAACACCGTTGATTACTCGAGTTGGTGTAGCAATTATAAGTGTGGATATGGCTCCTACTGAAAGGGCACTTGCGCCTGGCCAGTAAGGGCTCGTCGGTGATGGCGAAACCTCCAAACCACAAATCCATCTAAGTGCCAGGAGTTTCCTGAGAAGTGATTTACGGGCTTGATTGCTTGAGTCGCAGCAGCTTGATGCTACTGTGCTTCACAGCATTGACTATCATCAGCCTTGACCATACCAGTGACCGTCCCCAGTGAAGTTAATCCACAGTGCGAGATGCAACACAAGAATGGATCAACATCACGTGATCAGACCACGCCAGCCGACGGCCTGAGCCCCAAGGCAGCACAGATTCCTAGGGCTTGCCTGCCCACGGCTAAGCGAGTCCAGTAGGCCGCCCCTCCGCGAATTTTCATTCTCGCCGCCCCATCACAATATCTCGACAACCTCGAACGACTGACCCAACAGGCACCTGTCTCCTCGCCAATCCTCACGAGACATCAACACCCATCAGTCGCAAAGATGGCGGATTCCGACGCCCCCGTCACGCTGCGTACGCGCAAGTTCATCCGCAACCCCCTGCTTGGCCGCAAGCAGATGGTCGTGTGAGTTTTTACCTTCCAGACATCCCACAGCCTCTTGCGCAAGTTTGCCCCGTGTATCCTCCCCTCCCAATCCGAGAAGGCCACGACGATGCAGAAAACAAACCGACCTTCCGACAACGATCGCCAGACGATCATGCTCGAGGCCGACCGATTTCTCATCGATACTCGAACCGCGAACGGACAAGGGAAAAGAAGAAAAAAGAGGGAGGAATAACAATACACACACAAACACAAACCAAACAACTCGTGGCTGTCCGACTGCCTGAGCGTGCCTTCTTGGATGAGATACTTGGGATACGCGGAGTGCGAGGCCATGTGATCCAACAGAACAAAATATGCTGACCTAGCGTGTGTGTTCCAGTGACATCCTCCACCCTGGCCGTGCCAACATCTCCAAGGAGGAGCTCCGCGAGAAGCTCGGCTCCATGTACAAGGCCGTCAAGGACCAGATCTCCGTCTTTGGTCTGCGCACCCAGTTCGGTGGCGGCAAGACCACCGGCTTCGCCCTCGTCTACGACTCCCCCGAGGCCATGAAGAAGTTCGAGCCCCGCTACCGCCTCATCCGCGTCGGCCTCGCCACCAAGATCGAGAAGGCCAGCAGGCAGCAGCGTACGTCCTCACCACAACCGTCATGGCGTCGCCATCATACAGCGAGATGACGACGACAATGGCGGCCTCCGCAAGCGCACGTCAGCCAGCTAACATGTTCCCACAGGCAAGCAGCGCAAGAACCGCCAGAAGACGCTGCGCGGTACCGCGAAGGTCAAGGGTGCCAAGAAGAAGAAGGAGACTTAAACGGGTCACGACCCCAGGGCGACAGTCGATACCCACCCGGCCGGGCCTCCTCCTCGACCGATGGAGAAAAGAGATCGAAGGGTCCCGCGGCGCGCCCTCTGCCCGGCCGGAGCGGAGCGGATTGGGGGAGGGAGTCTGGAGGGCCAGAGATTCTTTGGGGCTTCCTTCCTCTGGCGGGTCTTTTGTGCATTACGTACGGGCTCGTTGTATCCCTCGGCACTTTTTCTCGCGTGTCGATAAAAATTGGCTCTTTAGAGTACGAGGCGAAATCGGAAGGGAATGGGTTCATGATTCTCTCAATACAATGCATCCAAAATGACCTGTTGACTGTAGTGGTGGTTTCGTGTGATGTTTTGACCGAGCACCTCCTGTGCCAGGCTCAATAACGGTGTCAGCCCACTCGTGTTGGCCCGATAAGACATTCCAGCGTCTTTCAACCTAGTGATTGATCGTGACCATGCACTTGTCTCGATTGTAATAGTGATTGGCAGTGGGATGTGGTGTCTTGACCGTGTCTGCTAGATAGTAGAAGCATGCTATGCTGTCCTAAGAATACAAACTCCGGTACACCTCTGCTACAAAACCTATTTACTTGCAGCCCATGCAGAACGCCAATGCCAGCGTAACCAACAATCGAAATTCGAAGCCACAAGCCTATGATTTCAGGTCGTCACTCCTTCGCCCTCTTGGACGGCCTCAATGAATCGTCAGGCAGACCACTCCTCTTAGTGCCCGGCAAACTACCCGTCCTGATATCGTTGTCGTCCTGACTCACTCTCCTGTGAGGGTATTCATTCTTCAGCCCTTCGAACGCCCCAGCTGTCAGTCGGTCACCCGTGCTGAAGAACGGATGTTGCAGCGCCTTAGCGGCCGTAAGTCGTTCCAGAGGGTCATACTCCAACAGACTCGAGAGGAGTTTGAAGCCTTCAACGCCTAGAGACACAAGAGGTCCGGAAGATTGCGACGCCTGCGACGCATTGCTCGCAGCACCTTGGCTGACCGTACTCCAATACCACTTTTCAAGGTTGGAGCCCTGTGGCAGATTTTGATGATGACTCCGGTGGTGATGGTGTGCAGAGGACATGGGTGGCTGCAGCGTCGCGAGCTGGGCGTACTCTGGCATGGAAGATAACAGCGGCCAGCGCTCTTTGGTCGGCAGACCCATGATGTCCACAATCTTTTGCATCTGGTTCCGCTGAAACGGAACAGTCTTCTTGCTGTCCATCTTGGCCTCCTCTCCCTTGAATATGGGACGCAGGGACAACAATTCTGCAAAGATACAGCCAACAGCCCACATGTCAATGGCAGGCGTGTAATGCCTGGAACCTAGGATGAGCTCGGGAGCGCGATACCATATAGTGACGACGACCTTATCACCGCTGAAGAGTGAGTGCAAGGGCTTGTCAAAGCGACGGGCAAGACCCAAATCGCCAACCTTGACCTCGCCAGCCGAAGTGACCATGATGTTGGCGGGCTTCAGATCGCGATGCAGAACCCAGTTGGAGTGGATGTACTGGCAACCGTTCAGCAGCTGGAACATGATGCTTTTGACCGTCTGCGAAGGAATCGGGTGCCGGGGTTGTTGTGTGTGGTGGTGGATAATTTGGAGAAGGTCGTGCTCCGCATATTCAAACACCATAAAAATGCACTTGTCCTCCAGGATGATCTCGACGAGTCTGATAACGTTGGGATGTTTCAACTCGCTGCAAAGCGACATCTCGCGGATGGCACTCTGAGAAATGCCTGTGTACGAGATTTGCTCGCCCTCCTTATCGGGTTTAAACTTCTTGATGGCAAACTCGCCCTTCTGGCCTTGCCGGCCAACAGCCTTGTAGACACGGCCATATGTTCCGCTGCTAATGAAGCCAATGACCTTGTACCTCTCTATGACGCGTACCTTGGACTGGTAGGCAACATGTCCGGTACCTCGATCTGTAGGATCTATAACGCATTGTCAGCCCCTGGCGTAGTGTAACACATGATGACGTGAAAGTAAGGATGTAGGTCATGTACAGGAACTGTTAAGCCCGCCGTATCCGACGCCTCTCCACATGGCTGAGGATTTGAAGAGGTGAGAGACAAGTGGCCGCTTGCACTCGCAAATAAGGACAAATATCAAAGCAGCCTGCCCATTTGATGATGCGGATCTTGTAAAGAAGAAGCTGGTGAGACGAGACTGTAATATCCGAGATTCCCCTTCGATAGGGTGTGGTGTGGTACGCTATGGAGAAGAACCGGCCGAAGGCTCACACCGCCGGATGTCGGGTACGTTCGAGTGCGTCGAGTATCCCGACTGTGGCATGGGCCAAAACAATCCCAGGAAGATGAAAGACTCGAAAGGCATACGGGGGGGAGTGAAAGTGCTCATATGAGTGCAGCATGCAGTGTAGGTCGGTAGAGCGCGCCAAAAAGCAAGGCCCGAAAGCAGGGGTTCGAGGGGTTGAAAGACAAAAGGCGAGAGCCGACCTGTTGTGGCTGCGGTGCCCGACCTGACCTGGGTCCCGAATGGAAATGATCCAAAAAATCGATCAAGTGGATGGATGCAGTCCTTTTCCCCACGCTCAGGCGACCCAAAGACAAGTGGCGTCTCTCACAAGCCGGTGGAGCATTGATGAGGGGGGGACCAGTTACAGGCTGGAACATGCACAAGCACAAACAAACATGCGCACTCGCAGGTTGGTTGCAGGTAGCAGAGGCCGGGGCAGTCACCGGGTAGCTACCCGGGAGGCTGTAAAAATAAAGAAGGGGGATAGATCAGATGTATGCGTGTGTGTGTGTGAGTGTGTTTGTGCGTACGTGCGTTGCGGATGGATGAATGAAAGAGTGTGGATTGCGCCCCCTCATGATCGGCTCGCACGATGTGGACAGAAGTGGATAGGTCCGGAGTCAGGTCAAGAGAAGGATGAGCATGGGGCATGGAACATGGGGCATGAATGCATATGTCCCGATTGGCATGGGAGACGACGAACGAGTAAGACGGAAGGAGTAAGACGGAAGGGGGATGGATAATGATGCCAAGTTGGTAGAAACCATGGTGATCAAGCGACGGACGAGAGCTGTGCCATGCCGCGAATACACTAGAAGAGAAAGCGCAGACACAACGTACCTTCAAAAGCCGCTTGCACACTCCTCTTCAGATTGCCGGTTCTAACCCCTGATACTGAAGAGGGACCCGAAGCGGCGGATGGCGGATTCGTCAGACTCATCGTCTCCGCTCCAATCTCTCGTGGATCTGTTCAGATTCTTTTGCCCCCTCATTCGGGTTTTCCGGGGTTTGGAGGCTCGTTGGCTCAGTGGCTCTCAGATTCAGTGGCTCTCAGATTCAATGGCTCGGTCGGTCGCTTGGCTCGGCTCCCCAACGCCAGAGTGACTCGCTGTTTCTCCGTCCGAATCCCGGTAGATGGTTCAGGCAAGCAGGACGCCGGCTGAGTGCGACAACCAAACTACCGGTTTGGTGGGGTAGGCCGATGGAGGTGAAGGGAATGCCGCTGGATCATTTAGCAACAACAAGCTGTCGCGGGTAGAAGGCCGCGTAGGCCCGTCGGTCGTTCGGTCGGTTTGTCGATCCAAGCAGGATCAAGCAACGTGCGAACGGACGGACAGACGAGTGAGGATTGTTTGCCAACGTCCAATCGGCAATGAGTCGCGTAGTTTTGCTTCCTGCTGATGATGTTCGAAGGTAGGGCGCACGTCGCTTGGAGACCTGACGGGCGTTGGAGATGATGGCAAACAAATTGTCTCCTTGCCTGGGGCGGGTGGAAAACTTGAAGTGACACGGCAGCTGCGGTGGCGGTCCAGTGCAGTCGCGTTGTGTGGTTGTGATGCACTACTGGCTAAATTGGACGCCGAAGAATGGTTAAGGATGTGCCAACAGTTGAGACTGAGTATATCTGACACACGTCGTCAACCGCCTAGATATTGTGATGAGAATATGTAAGAGGGTAGGTAGGTAGCCTTGGTGTTTGCTGTCTGGCGAAAATGACACGGAAGCGACTGATGAGAGGCCAGGCGGACTGCGCCTGAGCTAACGGCATGGCACCTTCCTGTCTTCCCTTCCTACCTGCCTAGGTACTTAGACCTTGACTACCTGTGGTGAGTGAGTGAGATGCGCGCGTGTCACACCGAACGGGGCTGCGCCGCCACGGTGCGGATAGTCTCCCACCCGACACAGTATGCTCGCGGCCAATGCAACCTCAGCACGGTTCCGTGTCTTACCTGGCTGGGTAGGCGGACAGCCAGCATAACACCCATGTAGGTAGGTAGGCAGGTAGACAAATCAACTCGCACGGGGAACCAAGTCGATTCAACTTTTTTTTTATCATGCTCTGCTTCTAATCGTGGCTGGAAAAAATCAAACCCCTTTCGGCCTACCACCCTGTGAGACCACTTATCGAGGACCAAGCTTTTCGAGCACCCGCGGGCCCTGCTCGTCCCACTCAGCCTTGGTCACCCACATGCTCTCCTTGTCCGCCATGATGTTGGCGAGCACGGCACCTCCCAGGAAGACCATGTGCCTTCGGCGCGGCGGGTCCTCTATCCGGACCTTAAACTTGCTTAACCGCTCAGGGTTGCCGCCCAGGACGCGCGTGAGCCACAGCTGCTTCAACTCTTTTTCCAAACGTGACGGAAGACCAGGGTACATGCTGCTACCGCCCGACAGGACGATGGCCTTGAACAGCGACGAACGCACGTCGACATCGGCCGCCTGGATCGTGTTGAACAGGAATTCGGCCATGCCCGGCTGCTCGCAGTCGACGAGGTGCGGCTGGAACAGACACTCGGGTGCCTCGAAGCGCTCGCTGCCGACGCGGATCACGCGGCCGTCCGGCAGCGTGTAGCTCTCCACGAGCGTCGTAGTGTCCTCGCTCAGCCGCTTGTCGAGCTCCAGGTCGTACGAGACGTAGCAGAGCTTCTCCTTGATCTGGCGCACCGTCTCAAAGTCGGCCGTTCGGTTGAGCGCGTAACCGCGGCGGAGCAGCAGCGCGATGAGGTTGCGCGTGACGTCGCGGCCCGCGACATCCAGTCGCCGCGTCAGGTGGTTCAGTACGACGGATTCGTACACGGGCACAATGTGGGTGACGCCGTCACCCGAATCGACGACAACGCCGGAGCTGAGGCCTACGTCTGTTAGTCTTCCGCGTGCGCCTTCCAAGCTCCATTCCAGAACGTACCCTGGGCGTAGAGCGCCAGCACGGCCTGGATCGCAACGTAGACGCCGCCGAAGCCGTACCGGTCGAACATGACCTCGCACATCTGCTCGCGGTTCCTCAGCGGGTTCATGGGAGGCTCTGTGAGGAGGATCTTGCGGCCGCGCGGGTCGACCTTCATCTTCTCGAAAAAGGTGTAGTCCCAGAGGTGCTGCATGTCATCCCACTTCTTCACAATGCCGTTCTCCATCGGGTAGCTGATCTGAAGCATGGTGCGCGCCGCGGCCGCCTCGTCACCGCACATAATGTCCTTGATGGCCAAGTCATTGTCGCCCTTTTCCTCCGTTCGCAGGATTGGCCGTCCGACCATCGATGGGTATTGGAACTCGGGAAAGTTCTGCGCGGCATAGCCGACCTTGAGGAAGCCGGTTCCTCCGTCGAGGACTGCGTGACGTCGTTAGCCAGGTACGGGAGTCGGCGGCAGCCAGAGCCAGAGCAGGCGGAGCGGCAGCGGACGACCAAAGGGTACATACCAATTGGTGCCTCCGCCATCTTGAAGTGTGTTCGCGAGAGCTGCGAATAGCCTGCAGGTGGAGGGAGAAAGTCGATGTCGAATCGCACGGCCTCTGGAAGCTTGCCAACACACGAGGAGGGGATTGGGAGATCAGGAGTGCGGGTGATGCTACGTAAGGCAGGCGTTGTCGGTGGTGGGGTATGGTAAGCGCACCGACCAACCTCGCCTTTGCTCGCCTGGGCTTCCTGCCACGGCTCCCGCCGCCCCCGTCATCAAGTGGTGGCTGAGAGCTTCATCACGTGATACCCCGCAGCTGGCTCGCTCACTCACCAGCTTCTCGTGAGCGTTTGAGATCGTATTCACCAATCACCAGGGATCAGCGGCAATTAGGATAGGTCCCCACTTGTTCCCGTCCTGCGCCAGTAAGGTAGATTGATGTAAGCGCGACTTGAGGTCTTACACGGGAGGGGTTGAGCAGATAAGTGAAGGAGGGTGAAGAAGACGGCGCAACGCCATGAGAAGATCATCATCGAGCACACACGTCCATCTCACTCACTGTCAAAAGGTGTTCCATATCAGCCGTCATCATGGCGCAGCGACCAATCAATATCCTGGTCATTAACCCCAATTCATCCCAAGACATGACCCATGGGATGGAAACAGCCGTCAAAGGCATGACCTCCAACGATGTAAGTCAGACCACCCGCTTGCGGTGCCAGATAGCAGGCTTACTTCAACTCTCTTCCCGTCCCCAAGTCTATCAAAGTCTACACCTACACAGCCCCGCCAGAAAGCCCCCCCAGCATCGACAATGGCGAACACATAGAAAGCAGCACCGAGATTGTCCTCAAGGACCTCGCTCACTCTGGCGAGCTCGAGAAGTACGACGGCGTCCTCGTCGCCTGCTACAGCGTCCACACCCTCGTCGACCGCCTGTCCAGGCAGTACGGCGACCGCCTCGCCGTGACGGGCATATTCGAGGCGAGCATCCTCACAGCGACGGCGTTGCTGCCGCAGACCATTGTCGGGGCGCCGCCGAGCCAGTGGGGCATCGTCACGACCGGTTCGTTCTGGGAGAAGCATCTCGCCGACGGCGTGACGGGGTATCTGGGCCAGATCGGCGGCGGCGGCAACACCAAGTTCAAGGGTGTCGTCTCGTCGGGTCTGACTGCGGGAGATTTCCACCACGTGAGCCCGGAGGAGGTCAAGGCCAAGCTTGAGGAGGCGACGAGGAAGCTCCTCGGCGATGGCGGCGTTAGCTGCATTGCGATGGGGTGTGGAGGCATGGCTGGATTGGAGGACATTATTCGGTCCACGGCCGTTGCGCAGTATGGAAAGGAGAAGGGCGGCAACATCTACGTTGTTGATGGCATCAAAGCCGGCATCATGCAGCTGGAACAGACAATCAAGAGCAGACGGCTGTTCCAGCCGAATGAGGCGTGAAGATAGGGCTCGGTGCAAGATGGCTGCTGCGTAGTCTGTTAATTTTCCAAGAGAATAATATATAGCTAACAGTCGCCTCGTGGGCAGTCATTGTCATGGGGCGATGAAGCGGGCGATTGGATGGTGTTATTACTTCCACGTCGAGTCTTGCTGCGACAATCCTCCAGAGGCTCCGAGGATCTTTCCGCAGCGCCTTCTGGGGGCTTCAGATTAGTCCCCAAGGCAATACTACGGCGATGAATAATTCCGATAGGGATGGCACCGATCCAGCTGCTACCGCCATGCTTTGTTTTGCACGCTGCCCGTAGGTTGACGTGGGAAGGCAACTGGCCAAAACACTCCTGACAAGACTCAATTCTTGATACTGGTAACAACCATGAGC